TCTTTCTTTTTTTTTTTTTTTTGAGACTGAGTCTTACTCTGTCACCCTTGGTAGAGTACTGTAGCATCACAGCTCACAGCAACTTCCAACTCTTGGGCTTAAGTGATTCTCTTGCCTCCCGAGTAGCTGGGACTACAGGCACCTGCCAGAATGCCTGGCTATTTTTGTTGTTGTTGCAGTTTGGCTGGGGCTGGGTTTGAACCCTCCACCCTCAGTATATGGGGCCAGCACCCTACTCACTGAGCCACAGGTGCCGCCCAACTCTTAGTAAGCACCTCAGATTGTGACTACTTGGAGAAAGGTCTTTAAGGGGGTAACTAAGTTAAAATGGGGTTGTAATGTGGGTCCTACTTCAGTATGAGCAGTGTATTTATAAGAGGAGGAGATTTGGACATGCACACACAGAGAAAGAAGGTGAAGAGTGAGAGCAAGAGAGGCAGAGAAGACACATGTGCATGCAGAAGCGAGAAATGTGTCTGACTTGGGAGGCTGAGGCAAGAAAATTGCTGAAGCCCAGAAGTTGGAGGCTACTATGAGCTGTGATGCCATAGCACTCTACCCAGGGCAACAGGTTGAGGCTCAAAAAAAAGAAAAAAGAAAATGTGTGTGAAAGCTAAGGAGAGAGGCCTTAGAAGGAACTAAACTGGGTGACACCTTCATCTCCAACTTCAGCCCTCCAAACTGTAACAAGATAAATTTGTTGAGTAGGCCACCCAGTCTGCGGTATTTTGTCAGACAGTTCCAGCAAACTAATATAATGCATTTTACCACAATTAAACCACCCACCCACCATCACCATCAACAAAAACAAACAACAACAGTAATAATCCCTAAATTAACTCTTAAAAAAAAAAAAGCCTAAAACAAGCAGACAACTTGATGTATTGGCCTCCCAAGTGTCTGTCATGTGCTGTGGAAAGTCACAGAAAGTGGGCCAGGCACGGTGGCTCACTCCTGTAATCCTAGCACTGAGGGAGACTGGGGCTTGGGGTTAAGAGTGGAGTATGGGGTGGGGGTGGGGCTGCTGGTGGTGGTGAATTGCCTGAGCTCACAGGTTCGAGACCAGCCTGACCTAGAGTGAGACCCTAAAAAAATAGTCGGTCTCTAAAAACAAAACTAGCCAAGCATTGTGGCAGGCACCTATAGTCCTAGCTACTCCAGAGGCTGAGACGAGAGCATTGCTCACACCCAAGAGTTTGAGGTTGCTGTGAGATATGATGCCACAGCACTCTACTGAGGGCGACAAAGTGAGAGTCTGTCTCAAAAAAAAAAAAAAAAAAAGTCACAGAAAGTGTGAGCCACGTTGAGTAGTTTCAACAGATTTGATAAGCTGGGCCAAGCCTTGGCATCAGTGGTCAGCTCTCCTGTCTACCCTTATTTGGTGCCCAAATTCAAAAAGTATATATTTTTAGAGATGAGGAATCTCACTAAGTTGCCCCAACTAGTCTTGAACTCCTATGTACAGCCGGTTCCATGCTGCTGCCCTTGCTCCTGACTGCTGGAAGCATGCAGGGGCTGTTGACTGCTGTAACCCCCTTTCAGCAGAGAGAAAACAGGGGCCAACCAGCTAGATCAGCTTGACTTCTGTCTGCTTCTTAGGCCCCTCTACTCACCCCCATGCCCGCTAATCTTCCTTCCTCCCCTGCAGGCTCTCATCTCCTTCCAGCACACCCTACTCATGCGCTCTCTCACCTGTTTGGGATGCTTCTTCTATCAACTTCCTCCTCTTTTTGTGCCATGGCCTTAACCTCTCTCCACTGGCTCCTTTTGTATAAGTAGGTTCAAATCTCCTTCATTCCCAGTAGAAACACTCTGTCTGGACCCTATGCTCTTTCTAGCTATTACAGCGTACCTATGATTCCCTACTTATTCTTTCTTCTTTAAGAAGGAATATTCCTAAATTATTCCTTCTTTAAGAAGGAATAGTCTATTCTAGTTACCTCTATGTTCCCTCTTTCCCTTCATTCTGGTACCCTCCAAATCTGGCTTCTGCTTGTGGTTCCACAAAGACTATTGTGACAAAGGTCTTTCAAGGTCTGTTTTTGGTTGGGTCTCCTCCCTTGCTTGTTGGCTTCTCCACCTATATGCAGATATAGCTGGCATCCCAGACTCTGCAAGACTCTGCATGTTCCAGTCCAAACATGTCATTTTTTTTGAGACAGAGCCTCAAGCTATCATGGCATCACAGAGTGCCATGGCATCACAGCACACAGCAACCTCCAAATCCTGGGCTTAAGTGATTCTCTTGCCTCAGCCTCCCAAGTAGCTGGGATTACAGGCACCTGCCACAACGCTTGGCTATTTTTTGGTTGTAGTTGTCATTGTTGTTTGGCAGGCTGGGGCTGGATTCCATCAGCTCTGGTGTATGTGGCTGGTGCCTTAGTTGCTTGAGCTACAGGTGCTGAGCCATAGTTTTTTTTTCTTTTTTCTCACTATGTTACTGTTGGTAGAGTGCTGTGGCATCACAGCACACAGCAACCTCAAACTCTTGGGCTTAAGCAATTCTCTTGCCTCAGCCTCCTGAGTAGCTGGGACTACAGACACCCGC